CTGCTGCTGCTGCTGCTGCTGCTGCTGCTGCTGCTGCTGCTGCTGCTGCTGCTGCTGCTGCTGCTGCTGCTGCTGCTGCTGCTGCTGCTGCTGCTGCTGCTGCTGCTGCTGCTGTGTTGATTGGCTGCCGCGCTTGAGACAGCGCAGACATCACGACGAAATTAGCAGCGCCTGCTGCAATCTGGCAGGGTCATCCAGCAGCATTACTTGTTCCGAGGTAGAGGGCAAGACCACCTGCAAGGTTGAGTGCGCTCAGCGTCAACACTTGGATCGTCATCACCTATGCTGCGCAAATGACCCCACCAACCCTGCTGTCCCCACACCCCACCACCGACTGCCAGGGCGCCCCACCTTGCTGGCGCGTCTCACGACGTCGACCCCACCGTGCTGCACCTGCTGCCCTCCGACGCCTTCTGGGCGGCGTTTGAGGCGCGCTATGGCGCCAACCCCACACTGGCGCACCCCTCTGTCAGAGCAGCAAAGGAGCCCCTGCTGAGGGCCGACTTTCGGGCGCTGGAGACATACCAGGTGCCGCGGCATGAAGTGGAAGGCAGGCCAGAGGGGCTCGTGCAGGTGTGCCCCTGCGCAAGATTTGAACACTGCATTCACTTGGTGGCCACGTGTTTGCAATCCTTACTTCAGAATCTTCATCTCCACGTGCCCACGCACTCCAGATGTCGCAGGCGCCTGTGCCGCTGCAGTGCCCGCTCTTGGTGGTGGCAGGAGAGAGCGACAACCGCTACAGGGCGGAGCAGGTCTGGGGGGCATGACAGGCTCATGGCGTTGCCCTCGTCTTCTCACAGTGAAGCCCACGCAAGGGGCTTGCCTTGTGATTGCGGCGGCGAAACTTACCCTCATCAGGGGACAGCAATGGCAACGAGACCCTGCGCGCGTTGCGTGAAGCACCCAATGCAGGTTGTCTCTGTCATGCTTTCGCAGCTGTGCCGCCGTCGCTCCACGCCCACCCGTCTCCTTGCCCACCTTGCGCCATCCTCGTCGGCACTGAACCATCCCTCTCACTGCTTGGTCAACCCCAGGTGTCGCAGTGGCGGCGGTACGCGGGGGCGGGCTATCGCGAGGTCTGGCTGGAGGGGGCGAGGCACAGCTACGTGGCCAACCCGCCGACCCTGCTGCTGGAGACGGTCAGGCAGGAGCTGCTCTCATGCGCAGCCGGCGGACGGCTGTCACGGCTGACATGGATTGGTGCTGCGGGTGCACAGGGGGGAGGCGCTGCGGCCGACGAGGAGGGCGATGATCTGCGCTGGAGGCGGGGCAAAACACTGCGCATAGCGCTGGGACAGGTGTGCCTGAGCGACGCAAGCAGTCAGGCCCGCTGCAGGACGCAGGATTGTGCGTCGGTGAAGGTGGGGTAGCAGGTGGGGCCACAGAGAGAGGGGTGGTGCTGCGTGTGGTGGAGTGTTGCTGCTGGGCCTGGGATTTGCCGATCGTGCTGCTTTCATCCTCCCAGAATAACCATGGCGCAGCACACATCTGTATGGTTTGGCTTTGATTCCATGATAGCTGCCATCGTTGAGTCTTAATAGCCAATACGTACAGCCAAACTTTACATTAAGCACTGCGGGTGGGAGCGCGGCCTTGAGAAGGGCCAACATTGCCCAGTGGAGTGGCGGGCAACACGAGGCAGCTGCGTGGCACAACCTTGGAAACCGCATGCATGAAAAACCTGCCTTGTGCAAAAAATGTGCTTTCGAGCAGTCGATTTGTCAGACATTTGCGGAATCCCGGTGTGTATTGTCACGGGCGCAAAAACTGTTGTACCACACTGTTGTAAATTACTCCCCTTGATTACGGTAGTGTAACTTGGATCGGTCATCAGGTGGGTCAAGCAGGAAATAAAACCGTGTCAGCAACCGTCCGCTGCGGCTCAAACCCCACAGTCGTGGGGCCTACACCCCGCTCACAGCCGCCCCATCTTCGAGTCCACCCACTCCTGCGCCGCCGGCGCCAGTTCCCCCAGAACCTCCTGAACATGTGGGTCGCCCAGTAGCACTCCCCGCCACGCCGCCACGCGCGGCGTCCGCGCGTAGTCCACCGGGCCCAGCCCAATCTCAGGGAAGATGATGTCCGCGTAATGCAGCAGCGCAGGGTAGCCGCAGTCTGCGAGTGTCAGCGTGCCGCCCACAGCGTACCCGCCGCCGTGCCTTGTGGCCCCCGCCGGTCCTGCTCCGTCCGCGCCGCCGGCGCCGGCGCCACCGCTGCCGTTTGGGAGGTCATCAGCGGCGCATGACTCAGCGCCGTCCCCGCCCCGCACCAAGATTTCCTCTAGCTGGGCCAGCCGGGAGTAGAACTCGGCGGCGGCGGCCGACACCGCCGCTGCGTCGGGGCTGGGGCGCACCAGGGGGTAGAGTCTGCGCAGGGCCGGCTCCAGGTACAGGTCGTGGAAGCGCGACACCAGGCGCACCTGCAGGGGCGGGGCGGACACACAGCACGTGGCAGCAACGACAGGAGTGAGGGCCGGCCGAGTGAGTAGGCTTTCGCGTCGTAACATCCGCTGTTGGCTAGCTGTGTGCGAGGGAGCCGTCGTCTTGCAGGGGCGCCCCTTGGCAAACAAAAATGTGCGCTGCGCACACTCACACCCCCGCTACCAAGCGCTGCTAACGCATGAGCGGGCCGCGCCGCACGCCTTCGGCGCCTTAGCCCCACCTTGGCGCGCTGCAGGGGGTGGTGCGGCATCAGGGGGGGCTGGGGGAAGGCCTCGTCCAGCCATTCGTTGATAACCTCCGACTCATACAGCACCGCCTGGCTTAGGACGGGGTCGCGGGTGGGAGAAAGTGTCTGATACGTGAATGAAGAAGTGTGTGGACGCGCGCATGCCAACACCTGCGCTTCAGACCTGTTTTTGCACGCCTTGCTTTGACCGTCCGGTGGGGGGGGGAGAGGTGGAAGGGGATGTTTGGCGCGCCGCACAACACAGGGGCTCATGAGCTCGCCCCCGGCCCGGCCCATGCCCGGCCCACCTCTGCATCCTGTGAGTCCGCCCCCGCCCGTGGCTCCACTATCAGCAGCGCCGGGATCTTGCCCAGGGGCGCGCGGCCGCCGAACCCCGCGGCAGCGGCCGCGTCCCCGCCGCCAGCGCAGGGCTTGGCCGGCAGCGCCGTCCAGGCGAGGCCCTTGGCGCGGAGCGCCACCTTGACCTGTGTGCCGCATCACGGTGGCACCCGTGAGCGCCAGGGTGCACTTGGTCGCTCTCGGCTGCACTCTGCTGCAAGCGGCCAGAGCCCCGGGGTTGGAGACATCCGCAAGAAAAACAACAATCCAGGTTGCGCCGCTGCCTGGATTCTGCCTGGGCGCTCACTCGGGGGTGCTCTGCTATGCACCCCCGATGAGGCCAGCTACCTTGATCTAGTTGCCCCAGGCGACTGGGCGCACAAGACAGTATGTACGAAGAGCGGTGATGCTGGAGCGGCGCTCGCGCAAAGCGATAGCGTGTAAGCGCCACAGTCTGTGTTCAAGATGATCACATGATTCGTCAAATGTCGACGTATTATTGTTGGATCAACAATTATTCAGAAATATCTTTGGGAGATCATTTCATCATTGCCGCGTGCTCGATTCGTCCGTGCGTGACAATCACGGATTTCTTCTCTTGACAACTCGGGTCTCAGAAGCGCAGTGATGGCCGCTTGCGCATCGCCATTGTCAAACTGGGCGTCACTCCAACTCTGCTGTGCTCGGGTGGGGAGTGGCAGTGAGGAGTGGCCTCGGGTGCGCCTGATGCGCTTGATGAAGGTCCCGACCTCGCTTCGTAACTGTTTCACAGCGCTGTAACTATGACTTTGTACGCAAGACCATGAAGGAGCTCACATGTCCCTGAAGCTTTGGTGGCTGCGTTCGCGCAAGTGAGCAGTGTCACTGCAGGTTTGTCAACAGGACACAATCGCCTGATTAATAACCCTCCCCCTCCCCCCCGGATTCATTTGAAGTGGATCCGCGGTCAGCCAGTTTTTGCGGAGCCCCCCCCGGGGCGGAGCCCTATGTTCACCCTGTTGGTCTGTGACCTTCTTACCAGCTTCCGCCCCGACACTCCGTGCCATACCAGTTGTATTTGTGGTGACTCGCGGGTGTATTATGCTCAACAACAAATCAGGATGGTATAGGTAGTCTTTGCTGACATTCTCGTGCCCCACAGCGTGAGATGGATTGCTGGTGCTGGTGACTCCGGGTACTTCACCTGGCTCAGCCCGCTGTCGAGGTGTGTCGCAGGTGTTTCCGATGTCACACAAGCCCTAGGTATCATCCGGCCGGTCTGGCCAGGTCTCATGTGCTGCACAGCAGTCTGCAGGCAAGAAACGCGCTGCTGCCCCCTTGATGCTTGCCTATGCCGTAGCCTAAGCTTATGAGCCTATAATTAAATGGTCATCGGGGGATTGGGTTCGATGTTGCGGTGGCCCAGATCGAGATTGTTGGTTGCGGCCGTGCGGGGGTCGTCAACCTAGCTGTGCAGCTCTACGCCACCATTAGTGATCGCTGTCGGGGAAGGTAATGCAGTCATTTCCATCGGCCGTTGTGCCGCTAATACCCCGGCCTCCAGCTGGTGCAGTGCGGCGTCTGCTCTGGCTGGTGCTGAGCCGTAGCCTGCGATGCTGGCTGTCTTCGCCTCCCTGACCCTGCTTTGAGCTGTGATGTTGGCCCGTCGCCGGGGGCCCCTCTAGTACACTTCGCACGTCCAACACCCTCACCATTGGCGCCGCCGCCACAACTGCCGCCCTCACCGTGACCCCTGCCACCGCCGCCACCCCTCAGTGGCGATGCTCGTAACAAGCACGAATCGCTCTTATCAACCGCTTGCTTGAGGCGGAATTTTTGATGCAAAATGCCCCGTTTCCCTCGTGCGCGACTGTGACACTTGCCACTGTCTTGGCAGATTGAACAACCACAAGCGTGACAGCCGCCTACTGCACTACCATTGCCTTGGCACGCGCGGGACCCCAGTCGCCCAATTGATGTTGATCAAGCAGAACACAACGTCATGCCGATGTTTGGTTCAAGCAGAAGCTTTGACCATCATTGTGTGTTGCTACCGTGGATTCATCACGACAATACATACATATAATAGTTGAATTGTGACCTGTGGCTGAGCAAGCACACGGGCTACCACTGGTTCGTCAACGCAGTGGGGGGCTGCCAACTATGATGAGGAAGCACCTTGGTTATAGATCCCAATACAATCAGAAGAGGGTGTTGCCCTCAAAGGGCCAAGCAGGTAGCTCAGCAGTGCACACAGCGATGGTGTCCAGTGACGGGAAGCTACGCGAGTGCACAGGTTGCTAGATATGCGCACAGGTGTGTGCATATATCCAACAATAATGATCCAAATTTTGGTAACCCTGTGAACGGACTGTGTGCCACTATCTGTGGCAAGGCAGCAGGTCAAGGCACCAGTGGCCGTGCAGTGCCCTCCAATTCATCAACACTGTCTGTGTTGGTTGCGTGACATGCGAGGCGCGTGCTCCGCTTTTTCAACCAAACACTTGTCATTGCCAACCAGCTGTTGGTGCGGCCTAGAGAAAATTAACGACATGCTTTGTGCATGACTGCATCATCATTAAAACCAAGCGCACGACCCAGCAGGTGAATTCTGGTGATGAAGGAAAGGCACAGCATGGGTTGGCTTATTGCATCAAGATCCAGCAAACAACGCACCCTGTCCAACATTCTTTATTATTTCTACCTAGTGCAAGTGCTGGTCCATTGCCATCAGCGTGAAATCGTGCCACAAAACAGAACCTCGTATGCGCTGCGGCTAGTTTTAGGCGCCTGATCAGCAGCAGCAGCAGCAGCAGCAGCACCACCACCAAACGCAACGCAAACAGCAGTGCCAAACGCAAGGCAAACAGCAGTGCCAACAGCAGCGCCAACAGCAGTGCCAACAGGAACGCTGACAGCAGCTCCGACAGCAGCAGCGGCAGCAGCGGCAGCAGTAGGCGCTGGGCTGGGACTTTGAACTGAAATTGGTGCTCTCTCCTGTACTTGGCTGGGGGCCCGATGCCCTTGGCGAGAACATGCATCTACCTCCGTACATTGGTTGGCCACAGCACGGGTCCTGTATGAAATAACTCATGTGGTTTGATCGAAGGCTTTACGTCTTCCTAACCTCTTGTGTTGGCACTAGCAACGCCTCAGCCTGTGCTCATAGTTGGTGCATCCGCCAAGCCGCCTGCCCTTGCACTTGCGGGGTGCAGCAGCCCTACATGGAAGGGCAATGTGGGTTCAGGTTTGATCGCCCATATCCTGTCATCAACAAGCGATTGGGCAAGCCTCATGTGAGCATTCGTTCGCCCTTTGCATGCCCTCAGTAAGGAGGTGCTGTTGCAGTGCGGCAGCAGAGCACGACGCACAATGCGTCACCAGCTGTCACGCACCGGTTACACCGCAGATATCTGACGGCATCATGTCGCTATGGATAGAGATTCGTTCTGAATACCTTCAGGATTGTAGATAGCTTAGATGCTGCTGCTGCGGTCCCCCGTTCGGACCTCCCGGGTCGTGGCCCAAGCTCGGGGGGATGATGGCGCCTCCGAGGCACCAAAAAGCGCTCGACGACGCGGTTTTCTAACGGGTAACCCGCTGGTGGTAGAGCTCTATGGGCGCAAGGCCCACATGTTTCTCCGCGCCTGCATGTGCTGTTGCTCCGGGTGTGTGCGTGCCCCCTGATGGCGCACACGCGCCGTTGAGATCCAAGCACCTCCTTTTGCTCAGGCGCCGCCTGCAAGCATGCATGACACCCAGACACCTGTTGTCGCGCCAATGTGCGTTTTTGCTTGCGCTGCGGGGTGGGGAAATGGCGAGCTGAGTCACCCACTTGCTGCCGCCGCCCACGCAGGCACACTTTCCGCCGGCCTCGCGTCACTGCAGCCGCCCCCTGGCCCCGCCCAGGCGGCCCCGTTGCCCCCCAAGCCCGACCCCCCGCAGCCTGCGGTGCCGTCAGCAGCGTGCGGTCCCAGGGGCGCGGCGGCGGCGCGTGACCCGGCGATCAACCGTGGCTGCGCCACGACGGCGGCAGCGCGGCAGCAGTATGGGCTGACCGGGCTCCTGCCGCCCCGGCAGGTGAGGGCGGAAGAAGGGGCCAAGGCCTCTCAACATTTCCATGGCTGTGCTGCGCGCGATGCTGCCGCGCACGTCAACGCCTAGCGCCAATCTGACATCCTGCTGCTGCTGTGTGCCACGGCAAACAACAAGCCCTGATGCGCAGCTACCGCCCAATGTCGGCACGACCCCGCGCACCACCCAACCCGTAATCCTTGGACTAGCCTCCTCTGGCGGTTTCACAGATGGTTCAGTCCCCACCCGCCACCCAAACCCACATCCCCGCGCGGCCAGGTGCCGCTGGAGGCGGAAGCGGCACGTGCGCGCGCTGCGCTGGCTCAGTGCTCCTCCGACTTTGAGCGCCACCGGCTGCTGATGGCCCTCAAGGAGAGCAGCCGCGACGTGTTCTATGCTCTGCTGCAGGGGCCTGACCTGGAGGCGCTGCTGAGGGTGGTGTACACGCCCACGATCGGTGAGGGCTGGGGGTGGGGGGTGGGTATGTGGCTGTCAATGGGTGGCTGGGTGTGTGCATGTACCCTCTGAGGGTGCGACTGGGAGGGGGCAAGGGAGAGGCGGTGGGGAGGTTGGGATGAATGCATGTGTATGGAGGCAGGTCGACGAGGAAGGGATTGCATGAGATTGCATATGAAGGGGTTTTGCGGGCATCTGAGTGCGAGCATGTGCACGCCGTACATGCAAGGAGATGGCAGCCGCCGCTTCAGGCGTGCTGCAACTTGATTGTGCACGCGTTTGAAGCTCGCCGGCTGCCCACGCGCGACTCGTTGTGCACAGGGGAGGCTTGTCTGCGTTTTGGGTCGCTCATCCCTCGTCCGAGCTGCCTGTATGTCAGTGCTGCCATGGCGGGCAGCGTGGCGGAGGCTGTGGCCAACTGGCCCCAGCAGGGCGTGCGGCTCGCGGTCGTTACCGACGGTGATGAGGGGGGCCAGGGGGCGGGGGGAGGGGTGACAGAGGACCAGGCAAGAGAAAAGACGGGCATCACAATGAATTTTGCGGGCGGGGATCTCGAGTGGAGGTGCGTTCAAGGCGGTGATAGCGCAGGATGCATGAGGCTCACGGTGCCCAGCTGCCTTGCCGTCGGTTTGCCAGCGCCCCTGACATCTTCAAAAGTCCGCCATGAGAAAGCGGCGGTGCGCGCTGTCAGGGACCCCGGGCCAGAGCGCCTCCGGATAGGCCCCGTTTCATCATACACGTGTGCTAATTATTTGCGCCCTCAACCCTGAACCCCCATCCCGGACCCCAGGTGAGCGCATCCTGGGCCTGGGTGACCTGGGCTGCCACGGCGCAGGCATCCCAATCGGCAAGGTGACTCAGGCGGGGGCTGCGCTGCGTGCGCCCCCGACCGGGCCTGATTTCAGAAGTGGGAGGCGGACTGAGCCGGGGCTGCAGCGGAGCGCCAACGTTTCTCAACGTGCGTGTCGTCAGCTGTGCTCCCGGGGTTGTTTGCCTGCACTCAAAACGAGTCTTTGCGCCTGGCCGGCGCTGCGCATGCCCTGCTGCTCCCTCGTCCCGCCCGCTCCGCAGTGCATTGTGTACGCGGCAGCGGGGCTGCCGCCGGACTGGCTGCTGCCCATCGTGGTGGACGTTGGCACAGAGAACGCGGGGCTGAGGGAGGGCGACCCCCTGTACGTGGGGCTGCCCCAGCGGCGCCTGCGGGGTGACGCCTACTACTCACTTATGGAGGTGGGGGGGGGTATGGATGGGGTGAGTGTTGGTACTCAGGTTGGCGACGGGTCTGGTTGGTGCGCAATTTGGCGGGTGGTGAGGGAGTGGTGGGCTGCCTTGGCTGGGGAAGTCGCTGCAGTGGTCACGAAGCAAGGGGCTGATCAGGCACACGCACTTGCTGGCTTCTGCTTGGCTTCCCCTCCTCTGCTGCACCCCTGCACCTTTGTTTGCCATCCCTCCCCATCTTCACTGCACCGACCCCAGGAACTCGTGACCGCGCTGCAGAAGCGCTACGGACCCAGCACGATCCTGCATTGGGAGGACTTGGCCCCCACACAGGCGAGTTCCCTGAGACCTCTCGCTTTCCAGGCTGAGCCAGGAGTGCTGATGCAACCATGGTCACCCACTCAATGAGGGCATGAGCCCACCCAGCCACCCAGCTGCAAGGCTGACTGCCTTGTAACCCAAACTCTCAATCTGCAGCCCCATGGCCCCTCACCCCAAACCCAGGCGTTCTCCATGCTGCAGCGGCTGCGCGCCAGCGGCACGCCCACATTCAACGACGACATTGAGTGCACCGCCGGGGTCACCGTGGCGGCGCTGCTGGGGGCGCTGCGGGTGCAGGGCGTGCTGCCGCTTGAGCAGCAGCGCTTCCTCTTCTTTGGAGCGGGGCAGGTGGGTTTTGTGCAAGCAGTAGCATTGCGGACCTGACAGTGCCGGCAGGCGCCTGCTTTTGCGTGCTGGCAGAGGTCAGCAAGCCTGCCAGGTGCAGCAGCCCCGCCTGACAACACCGCCCCCCAGCGCGTGGCGCCCCTCACGCCCAGCCTGCCTCGCCCTCCGCCCCGCAGGCGAGCCTGGGCACTGCGCGGCTGATCGTGCGGCTTATGCAGCGGCGCGGCGTGCCTGAATCCGTGGCGCGGTCTGCGATCTGGATGATCGACAGCCGCGGCCTCATCACCACCGCACGCAAGGGGTTAACGCCGGAAAAGGCAGAGTTTGCGCAGGTGAGGGGCGCCCCCTCTCGGCGCCGGCCACTGCGCTGCGCATGCCTCCAGCCCTGGCGCATCAAACCAGCTTCCCCTTGTTCAATGGCTTGTGCTCATGCACTGCGTGTGCCACGCGGTGGTCTGCGCAGCGGAGCGTCGCTTGCAAAGCTCCCGGGCTGTTGTCTGTCTTATTTTGTTTGAGCCCCGCTCCCGCCTCTGGTCCTTATCAAGTTGTCCTTGTTGAGGAATCCAACCAACATTGGACACCCCTCCGTCTCACATACGCGCGTGTGCCTGGCAGGACCCTACAGGGCAGCTGCCCCCGGACCTGGCCCAAGCCAGCGCCGGCGAAGGCACCCCCATCGCCGCCCGCGGCGGCCGGTCCCAGGCGCAGGTCGCGGCGGCGCTGCTGCAGCGCGCCATCGCGGCGCTGCGGCCGACGGCGCTGGTGGGGGCCGCGACAGTGGGGGGAGCCTTTGACAGGGGCGTGCTTGAGGCGCTTGTTCAGGTGAGGGGCAGGGGCCTTATGCAGAGACAAACACTGGCCACTCGGGGCCGGGGCGTGCCCATATTGGAGGCCTGCTGGGACGGGGGCCTCGCCTGGGGCTGTGGAGGGAGGCCAGCTGGCGCAGGGCGCCGTGGGTGGCCGCCGGGGCCGGGGCCGGGGCCCGGCAGGCACGGGGCCTGGAGCTGGGCCGGTCGGGTCCGCGGTCACCCTTCTTGGAGTATCACGGCCGCGCACGCTCACTGGCTGCGCGCAGCGGATGGGTGACAGCTTGCCAGCGGGCAGCTGACTGCCTGATGCAGCTGGGGACGATGATGACAGTGATAATTTGCACCTAGTTTTAGGGTTTGCACCTTCCGACTGCTGCATGACACCCATCTGCACACCATTCACGTGCAGTCTGCCGCCGCAGAGGCCGGCCCCGACGCCCGGCCGCTGTGCTTCGCGCTGAGCAACCCGACGGAGAAGGCCGAGGTGCGGTTCGGCGACGCCTGGGAGTGGAGCGGCGGGCGCGTCGTGTACGCGTCGGGGACGGCCTTCCCCGGCCTGGCCGTGGCGAGTGACGGCTCCGCAGTGCCCCTGGAGGCGCCGCCCAACCCCTGGGCTTCGCAGGCAACCAGCGCCGGCGGCGTCGAGCCCGGCGGCAGCCGGGGCGCCGGGGCGGGCGCGCGGGTGCTGCGGCCCGCGCAGTGCAACAACAGCCACGTGTTCCCCGGGCTGGCCCTCGGCTGCATCGCCACGGGCGCGTCCGCTGTGAACGACGACATGCTGCTGGCGGCGGCAGGGGCGATCGCAGGTGCGTAGGTTATAACTTTGTGCGGGTGGGGGGCTCGGACGAGGGGGGGCCTGCGTTGTGTGCGCACGCGCTGCGTGCGAGCTTGTGGGGTGGCGTTGTTTGCTTGCTTAAAAAGCGCGCGCGGCTGCCTGGCCTGGCGTGTGCCGCCGCACGCCCTTCCTGTTGTCGTCAAAACCCTCGTCATCATGCCAACGCAAACCCCTGAGCACCCAGGCCGTCAAATCCTCACCCTCACCCGCCCAACCACCTTGAGCCTCAGGCAATCACTGCAAGTGCCCATCCCCCCCCCCCCCCGCGCCCGTCCGAAACTGGAACGACTCCCTCTCGCCCCACTCCGAAACGTCCAGGCATGGTCACTCCGGGGGAGCTGGCGTCAGAGTGTGTGTTACCGAGCATGGCGCGGCTGCGGGAGACGACGGCGGCGGTGGCGGCGGCGGTGGCCGCGGTGGCGTTTGGGGACGAGCTGGGCACTGTCACTGTTGATTCGGCCCGGTGCGCTTGAGATGGGGTGGCTGGGCGGGGGGGGGGGCTGCGCTTGGGGGGTGCCGAGGGTGCGCTGCGCTTGTATACATGCCGGGCAGCAGCCAAACGCGCAGGCATGGCACAGCGGGCGGGTATGTGTGTGTGTGTGC